TCTGATGAAGGAAGTACTTCCTTGGAGTCAGTCTCACTTCAACGGACTTCCCACGACATTCCAACATGACCCAACACGCCCGCACAAGGCACATTAGCCTTGTGCGGGGTCAGTGGTGGTGCCGGACTAATTTTCCAACCATGATCACCTCCACAGAATGGCCTCCTTACTCGGTGATCCGATGTGGCCGATCCTTGCGCGCAAGGTCTGTACTGCTTTCCACAAGAATCTCGACAGTCTGCCCTTCTGCTCTCTGCCACAGTGGCTGCGTTTCTCAATTGTCTGCGAACCGGTGTTAGGCGAAGGGCGGTTATTTGTTAATGTTTGAATCAAATATATGCCAAATTTCATGTTTCTATATGCTTCTGCTCTGATTTTATCAACAGAAATGCAGTGCTACCAGACTTTGTGACACCCTGTAATATTGATCTCTTGTCTGGTACTCAGATGGGTGATCAACGCCCATCTGATTACTATAGGGGCATGTTATTAACAGTCAAAGGTTCTTCAATGGTAAGTCAGAGTTTGTTACTCAAACTCTGGCAGACAAAGCCTCCACGAACTATTTCGGTTGCCTTGCTTGCCTCAGGTAAGGAAGAAGTTAATGATCTATTAACAATTGCTATCAAAATTTGGGAATCATTATCTTCCAACCTTTCATCTTCCAATTTATCAATTTCTGACGTAGGATCAAAATCACCTATCAACAATCCTTCAACATCGCCATTATTAAATTTTTCTGGGAATAATAATTCAGCAATTCTTAAAACATTACAAGATTTCTCTAATTCTTGTCAACTTTTATTACAGACCATAACACAACGCCAGATTTCCATCGAATCACAGGTCAATTACATTAACCAACGTTTAAATAACGAAAACGATCTTCGTTGTTGTTCACATTGTCATTTTCGCCGTGAACGTTCAACTTCTGGCTCACGCCACACTTCCGGAAATCGTCAATTTTCTTTTCCCATATGTACATATCATACAAAGTTCGGCGATAGAGCTCTCAAATGTCAAGGTTCGTGGTATTCTTTAATTCCTTCAATGAACAAACAAAATTATCAAATTCAAATCAATGTTCAAAAAAGCTGAATAGAGTTTCAATAGAAAAGAGTCCTTCAAGTAAAATTTTGGTTTTAGCAAATAAACGTAATTCACATCATCCATAAATTAATTTTATTAGTCATCTTCTTTTTGTCTACGACGATAATAACAATCTAAATTTTCTTATCGATACAGGTGCTGACATTTCCGTTTTACCATTTAAACTTTTCTCATCCTTTAAAAAAGATTCAACTTCATTTCTTTCAGCAGCTAATGGATTTACAATCAATACCTACGGTAAGAAAATATTGACCGTATTTTTAAATTTGTGCAGAAAATTTTAACATTAAACATCGTATAATAACAAATTCTCATCTACCATTTTCCCGTCCTCAACGTTTGGATACCTCAAAATTTGTGATTGCCAATATGAACCGATAGCCTCGCTTGGTATTTGCAGACCTTCATCATCTTCAACAGCTTCTCCACTTCATATGGTACTAAAGAAAACTTGAATGATTGGCGACCTTGCGGTGATTATTGCCAGTTGAATTTAGTTACGGTCCCTGGCCGATATCCAGTGCCTCATATTTAAGATTTTAATATTGACTTGCATGAATGTAAGATATTTTCAAAAATAGATTTAATACGCGCATAATACCAAATTCCAGTTCGTGATGATGATAATAATTTTGGTGTACCTTCGTTGTTAGACTTCCTTGGTCACCATGTTGCATCTGAAGGTATTCGACCATCAGATTCAAGAATTAAAGCTATTTCCGATTTTCCAAAACCTGTTTCATTGAAAAATTTACAAAGGTTCTTAGGCATAATAAATTTCTATCACAGGTGCAACTTTTTGAACAGATGCATCAAATTCAGCTATGGGAGCAGTTCTATCATAGACTACTGATCATAAAACCCAACCAATTGTGTTCTTTTCCAAAAAATTATCACCTTGCCAAACTAAATATTCTAATTTCGACCGTGAATTCTTCTGGGTAATCAGTATACTGTTTATACCGAGCACAAACCTTTGGTCAATTCTTTTACTTCAAAACTGAGAAGACTCCACGACAGAGTCGATATCTACATTACATCACCCAATTTACTTCTGACATTAGATTTATAAAAGGTGATGCAAACATAGTGGCCGATACTCTCTCTCGAATCAACATTGACGACCTTGATTTTTCTTATCCCGATTTAAAAGCAATTGGAGATGCTAAAAAGATAAGCAATTACATTTACTTACTAAACAATCCTCGAAAAGCATTGTTTGAAACTTATCAAAAGTAATTTCATTTTCAAATTTATCCCTCTGGTGCGAGACTTCTTATTCTCATCCAAGACTTTATATTCCAGAAAATTTTCGTTATATTGTATTCAAAAAATTTCATAACATCTCTCATTCTGGATTTCGCGCCACTCTTCATTCCCTCAAAACACGTTTCTTTTGGCCTCATATGTCAAAAAATATACAACCCAGTAAACAAGAAACATCAGTGAAACATTTCAATTTTAATGTACAGTGAATTAAATGAAACATCTTAGAACTAAGTTTCATGTACGATTTTTACGAAACGTATCTAAAGATATGTATCAAATACATTTCAGTAGGAATATTTATGAAATATCATTAAAATATGTAGCAGAAACATTTCATTTGAAACATTTCTCTACAAATGTGTCTGAAACATGTCTGGAATATCTTCGAGGAGGGTTCCGTCCAATCGGAACAAATGGTATGTCCCAGACAGTACGTCGCGCCTTTATCTTACCTACATAAAGAAATAAGGCGCGACGTCCTGTCTGGGACGCACCATCTGTTCCAATTCGACTGAACCCGCGGCACCCCGCAGAGCTTATTTCTGTTTCTCTTTAATTTGTAACTAAATTAAATCGCTCTTCAAAAATTAGGGAGCTCTAATTTTGAAAAACTAATAACGGAATCCGACAACCGCCAGTATTTGATATATTTTGGTCAAATCCGCGAGGAAATCCACCCAGCCGTTTTCGACATAACGACGTCTTACTAAACCGCCATTTTCCGTGAAACTATATGGAATATCGAAAAAATAAAATATTATTAAGAACACATCAGGCTACCTGTTCAAAATTAAAATTTTTTCGTACGATAGTTTTCGAGAAAAAAATCGGGAAGTTAACAAAGTTGCCGGTACTCTCAAAAATCGGGTACTTTTTTCATTTAATTCGTGATAAAAAGAAAACCGTGGATCCGAAAATTTTCAAATTAGCATATGTTACGTAGAAATGTTCAGTGATTACAACAAACTTTGTCGCAATTTCTTTTTATCGAACGGTTGCGAAGATATAGATCTCTAAAGCAAGGGCGTAGATATCTTTTATTTCTAGGGGGGTAATTTAGAAACATTACAGCGTTATGCTCGCCAAATAGTGCTTAGAATCAAGGTTTATGGGGGAAAATAAAATAAACATTAACGTCAGAAATTAGAAATATAATTATTGCTAAAGCCCTAAAGTAGTAGTAAATTAAAAAAAAATATACGAAAATACACATTTTCTTTTCTTTATTTTGGGGGGGTAATTACCCCCTTTACCCCCGCTTATCTACGCCGTTGCTCTAAAGTGAGGGCCTTGACTTTTTACACGGATAGTAGTGGAATAAAGTTACTTTATTCAATAAAGTAATAAAGTTACTTTATTCCACTAGTGGAATAATGAAAAATACAATCTTAAATCAATCACATCCTATTTATTATTTATATTAACATTAACGTATTTAATATAAACGTTAGACATTTCATTGTTTGATTTGTCATATCACTTTCTTCCATTTTTCACCAACTTTACCTTTACAACTTTCACACTTTTACAAATATATTATAAATGAAGTCGGTAAACAATCGAAAATAAATAGCAACAATTCAACACCTCCCAATGTTTTTTTAGTTAATTGCAATGATTTTTGAGGTGACAGCCCCCGTCAGAGTGAAATGTCAAATCATTTTTTGATAACATCAGATGAATTTTTGGCGATTCTGATTCTAAATGAGTGTGATTGCGGATAAAACGTTGTATTGCATGCGTGTTATAGATGCGTTTTATTCACTTAAGAAAATTAAACATTCTTGCGTGAATAAAATGCTGTCTAAAACACTTACACAATAAATAACTATTGCATTTCAGAAATAATTCAAAACCGTTAATGAAACATTTTAGTAATGTACCGTAATTGTCAGCTGTATGTTGCAAAAACGTTTCATTAGAAAAACCAAAAAAAATGCAAAAAAACTTTTTATCAATAAAGAACTCCTTAACTCTAATTTTGTTTTCTTAAAAACCGCAGGTCTTAAACCTACTCTTTCCCCTCAATACGAAGGACCATATAAAGTTGTTACAAAGTTTGAGAAAATTTTGTTGTTTCACGCAACAACAAAGAAGTGACGGTTAACATCGATCGTTTACAACCAGCATTTTTACTAAACAACAATTGTTGTAACGCGATCAATAACAGTTGCAATATACCTCACTTTAAAAAAAAAGTTCATTTCAATTTTAGTTTAAACAGTTTTTCTATTATTTGATGTTACTTCGTGTTTTTCTGTGAGAACCTCTATATAGAAATTAATTATTTTTATTTATAAGATGTTATCTTTTTTTGTCAATTTATTTATTCAAACAAATTCATTCCTTTCCAAATTTTCTTCACGTTGTGTAAAAGTTTCTAAAATTAAATAATTTATATTTTGAAATATTTATTACTTTTAAATAAATATATGTGTGTGGAATAAGAAGAATAACTCCGCCACAGATGGGATTTGATATAAAAAATGTGGGGATGAATTATATTAAAAATAAAATATTATTTATTCCACACTAAATATCTACTAGATTTGCTTTTAAATATCCATAAATATAGCTTAATTAATTCTTGAAATACAATTTAAATTGAAATAAAAACAATATTTTTCTTTTGACTACTTTATTATTATTGTATGTTTAAATAAATCTTACGTTACAAACTACAATAACTCGTTGTAAATAAATTATATACAGGTAGTTAAAATATTACTTGTTACATCATCAAGAATGGGCGATGCCTTTCTCTTTATCGTTGGGAAATTTGGTCCCACCCTACACTTACGTATCGTTTTTTTTCTTTTTTAAATGCTACGAACAGTTTTTGTACATCCATTCATTTCTTAAATATATCATAAATAATAATACATAAATGGGGGTATATGGTCACACTTAAGTAAAAAGTGAAAAATGATCGACGACTTTCTAAAAAATATGGGGATATGTGACGCATGCGGTGCGATTTTTTCCAAAGTACCAATAAGTCGCCGTGATTTTTCATTTTGAGAGTATTTGGTTTCAGATATATTTCTTTAAATTTATCACTAGAGAGTATTCGCCTTAATAACTGGACACCCTACAAAAGTAATAACTAAGTAACATGAATCACAAATAACTTTTAAAACAACTTACTACAAACTGAACAATTAATTTCATCGGAACCATCCCCACAACCATCCCTTCCAGAACACGCAATAGCGTTAGATCTGCACCTTCCGTTACCACATTGCAATGGGCAATAATCAAAAGTTTTTTTCTTGGTGCGATTCTTGCAGATGTGGGGTGGTTCGTCGCTGGCATCTTTACATCCGATGATAGCGTTGCAAAATTCGTATTCGGGGATACATTTTCCATCGTTGCATTGAAAAGTGTGCGGGGGACATTGTTTTAATTCTTTTGTGACGAAGCAATTTTTTTCGTCTTCGCCGTCTTTACAATCTCTAGTTCCGTCGCATCTACTTGCTCGCGATATACATTCATTACTGGATGGACAATAAAAAGCTTCGACTGGACATTTATTGTTGGTACATTCTTCGTCTGATCCATCTGAGCAATCTCTTCTACCATCGCAAACGAAAAACCAACTTATGCAAGTTCCAGAACTTCGACACTAAAAAAAATTATTTAAAAGTTAACTTTAAATAAATATTAAGAGATAAACGTGTTAGTAGCAACAGGTTATTTTATTAACTAAGTGAAATTCCGAACTCGATGGCCATATTTATCGAAATTCCAGCACAGAGATGGTGCTCTATTTCTCCTTTATAAGGGAAATGACACTGAAAAGGAATGCCACTAACTGTATTTTTAAATTGGCAAATTGCTCGCTCACATCCGGGCAACGTGACTATTAAGAATCGGGCTTCAATCCTATTTTAGCAATATGATGACCCGCATTTAGTATACTTGTTACCTAGTATAACTTTATGAACTATACTTAACGCGGTTAGAACTTTACCGTTAACAACATCCTTAACCGATAATATTATAATATCAGAGTTCACATGATACATGTTAATTATACGGTGTTATCGGGTATAGCACTGCACGCATACGGTGTATTATTTTATATATACAGTTAAGAAAGAATATTATAATATTTAATCTCAACAACAAAATAATAAGACCTTACTTGAAACGTTCCCGGAATACACCCGGTATTTCTCGCTGAACAACCATCTGTACCATTATTTACTTTCCAAATACAATCACAAACACCATCTCTACATCTTGATGAAGCATCAGCCGCTTGACATTGTAAATCTGTTACGCAAGGTAATCCTAAACTTACAGCATCATATCCATCGGCATTTCTCCATCTATACGTATCTGAATCTCCATCTTGAGGTGTTATTGATGGACCTTAAAAATAATTATATCTTAATACAAACTTTAAGTATCTGAATTAATTAACGAAATATATAATTAATGAAAATGTAAATTACCAAAAGAAATTTTTTAATAAAAGTGTTTAAAGTCAAATTAAATTCCAAATGATTTTCTTATTAAAAAAATATCTATCTTTTGCGCTATAATTACTTGGTCGTCAGCGAAGTTCAACATGCACAAACGTGTGTTATCAATTATGATCTCTTCCACTCTTTTATTGCAGCGTCGTATAAAACATAATTAGTGCCATGCTAAACCGCCGCCTTAACCCTTTACCCCCTGACAATTTGTTTCCCTGTTAAATATAGGCGATATTAATCTTGGATGAGTTTCATAAGGTAAGAGCTAACAGCAATTGGCCTAAGCGACGTCATCATCTTACTTCTTGGTATGTTTTTATACATATACATTCTTTAAGGCAATAAAAGTAATGTGTATTTCTCTATATTTTCTTTTCTCAAATTGTAGTCGTCGCGATACATTCTTTTTTGTTAATAAGGGTATTCTTCGTGTGCTTCTAGCAGATAAAATTTTTCTAAAGACGTAATTAAAGGTCGTCGAAGTATTAAAGTTCAATTTCAACTTCTTTGTTATTTCTTTTCCTATTTATTGGAGTGAAATGGTTGGTTTTTGGGTTCCAGAAGTGGTAAAAAATGCTGATGCCTTAGCTACATTAATACTCATAGCTTACCCAAGCATACCAGCAAATCTACTTCCATATCTTACTCGTCAACCTAGAAATATGCACGACGAGAAATGGGTATTTGCTCTGTAGCTAACAGGAAATTCTGGAGCTCCATCTTGGGTAGTAATTCAGATATACAAAATATTTAGAAGTTTTGAGAAACTGCGAAAAATGAAAATCGATATATGTACTAGATGTGATATGATAGATGACTACATCCACATATATATTGGGATGAATAAGAGTTCAAGAACAAAAGAGGGGTATTGATAGTATTACATAAGAGTTAAAATCATAATTATCAGACTATACGCTCCAAATGAGAACGTAGATAAGCAAATCAAAGAACTCTATGACTGGTTATACAATGTTTTGTCCGATTTGAAAATGATAAGGAAGTTTCACATCTGAAATCTAAATGCCATTATTGAAAAGGAAGAAAATGACTGGTGGTAGGAAGAAATGGTGTAGCAGCCATACATGAAAACGGAATACACCTAATACATTTTAACTCAACGAACCAGACGTCTCCAATCTATAATAGACTATGTAATCTGGCAACAAAGTTCTAGACTTATAGTCCAACGTGTGGATCAGATCTTTACTACAGCTTTAGCTATATGGAGGAAAGTAAAGTTGGTCTTCATACCTAAAGGTGGTAACGCCGATTGCAAGGCACAAAGACCAATTAGCCTAATTTCATTTCTCCTCAAAGGAATAGAAAAGGTAATTGATCAATACCTTAGGAATAGAGTGCTTGCCACTAATTCACTCCATCCGAGTCAACATGCTTACCAGAAAGCAAAATCAACAATTTCTGCTCTCCATACTTTGAGTAGCACTTTAGAGGAGACAATTGTAACCACAGAGATAGCCCTATGTACTTTCATAGACATAGAGGGTGCTTTTAATAACATCTCCTACGAATCCATAGAGAATGTTCCAAACGTTGTTGTCGGCAGAATGTTGAAAAGTCGGCAGATCACAGCCAGTCTGGGAGGCGAGTCCTTGATTATTAAGGCGTTAAGAGGATGTCCCCAAGGGAGAGTGCTCTCACTTCTCCTATGGTACCTGATAGTTGATGGCTTGATGAACACTTTAACATAAAATGGATTCATGATTCAAGGGTATGCTGATGACCTGGTAATCACAATTCGAGGTAAATATGACACAATCATAACTCAACTAATGCAGAAAGCCCTAGTACTCACCAGTACTTGGTGCAGAAGCAATGGGCTCAGCATCAATCCAAATAAAATCGAAATAGTCCCTTTCACTCCCAGAAGGAAGCTACAATCCCAGTAAACAAATTTGTGTTTCAGAAACATTTCTGATACATATTATTGAAACAGGAAATGTTTCTTCGATATATTATTGAAACATGAAATGTTTCTTCGACATATTTCTGAAACATAGTTGAAACTGTCTGAAACTGCTAATGTCCGGCTCTTTTTATGTTTCATTGAAGCGTGTCTATTGAAACGTTTCTGCAACATACAGGTGACAATTACGGTACATTATTAAAATGTTTCATTAACGGGTTTAAATTATTTCTGAAATGTAAATACGTTTACCAATCTACAAAAATGTCTCCTAGAGAATTTCAGCTTTAATTTTTATCTCACATCATACGAACGTAAAACTATATAACTATACAGGGTGATTCAAAAAACCGCTGACAAACTTTTAGAGTAGATAATACATGAAAAATTAAGATGAATAGTCTTAATATACATGGGGTCGCAAATGCCTCGTTGGCGAGATATAGCAGATCAAAGTTTCTTTAAAATTAAACATCTGCAATAAAAAGCACTTTTTTAAAAAACTTTGTCTACGCCATTGCTCTCTACGCGTGTAAAGTGATCAATTATCTATCAATTGGTCTCTTACAAAACTTTGATCAAAGCGATAGTTATTAAGAAAAACACGTAGAAAATTTGTTAATTTAATCAAAGTTTTGTAAGAGACCAATTGATAGATAATTGATCACTTTATACGAAAGTACTACACGTTTGACAAAATTAGCAGTGGAGTTGAAAATATTTTAAAAAAAGGGCTTTTTATTGCAGATAATGTTTAATTTTAAAGAAACTTTGACACGCTATATCTCGTTAAGGAGGCATTTGCGACCCCATGTATATTAAGACTTTTCATCTTAATTTTTGATGTATTACCTGCCCTAGAAATCTGTCAGCGGTTTTTTACCCTTTACCCAATCACCCTGTATAATTTTATATAATTGCAGGAGAAAAACAACCAAATTTAGCGGGAATCGCGATCAAACCTTATAGGTTATGATTTGACCTACGGAAAACGTAAAATTCTTTATATAGGTCTCTTTCTTTAAATAGTGTTCACTAGCCGTATTTTCATTAACTAAACCTAGTGGTGATATATAAAAAAACTTATACAAAACTTGCGCCATTCTAAACCAATATTTGAACGATTCGAACTGAGAAACACACAATAGAACAAGACGACATGTTTCAGACACATTTGTAAAGAAATGTTTCAAATGAAATGTTTCTGCTGCATATTTTGATGATATATCATAAATATTCCTACTAAATGTATTTGATACAAATCTTTAGATACGTTTCGTAAAAATCGTATCTGTCACTCATATGAAACGTAATTCGAACATGTTTCATTTAATTCACTGTACGTTAAAATTGAAATGTTTCACAGATGTTTCTTGTTTACTAGGAATTGAGAGCACCCTCCATTGAAAACAGAACTATTAACCTTAAAACAGACAGTAAATTAAACTGGAACTCTCACATAAACAAGGTGAGGAAAAAGGCCATTATGGCTAAGCAGATCTGCCGCAACCTCCTCGGAAGAAACAGGGATCTCAAACCACGAATTGCTCATTGGGCGTAGCAATAATCAGGCCCATGGTCACCTATGCCTCACTGGTTTGATGGCCAAAAACAAATCATAAGACAGCACAACAACATCTGGCACAAATCCTGCGGTTAGCATGTCTTAATATAACAGGTGCAATGAGATCTTGTCCGACAGCTGCTCTTGAAGCCCTACTCGGTCTCACACCACTTCATTTATATATACAGAAGGAGACAGCTTTAAGTGATGTATAACTGAAAACAGGATCTTCACTCAAGTTGATGCAGGATAACCTCAGAGGACACCTCGAAATCCTCAAGGACCCATGTCTAAATGACTTGATTGAAATGAAAACAGACCATATACCGACAGAATACAATTTCGACCAGCCGTATAAGGTCATATTTAGAAGCAGGGATGATTAGACGATGCCGGTACACCGATGCTTCAAAGACAGTTGGATCCGGAGTAGGCGTGGGTATTAGTCGACCAAATAGTCACATTTAATTGCCCCTCAGCTCCGACATAACCATTTTTCAAGCAGAAGTTCTTGCTCAAAACTTCTGCACCGCTTTGAATCTACAAAAGGGACAGAAAGGTGCCTAAAATACCACCTCTTCCACATTGGACAAGCTGAGGATCAAACTTGTCGACTTTGCAACGACGAGTCAGAAACGGCTGAACATATACTGTGTAATTGCGTTGCGAGAGGCCGTCTAAGACACAAAATTTTCGGTAAAGTTCTTTTGACACCTACCGATATAAAGGAACAAGACCTTGGAGCAGTACTAAGGTTCATTAAGGACCTACATTTGCCCTAAACTTTTGGAGGGCTAAAATTACAATAAATCTTATAGGTCGCGGTGACGAGAGGGGCCGCTCCCCTCAGCACGGCAGCAATAATAATAATAATAAATATACCACAAAATAAAAAGGCGTACATGAAGCAGCACTGGAAGCAGTAGATTACAGTGAAGCTTCAAACGAAAAAAACTCCTCTTGGTTTTCAGAAAAATTTTAAAAATTGGTTGAACTGAAGAAAAGCGCTTAACAACGTTGGCTAAATACATCATTTAGGTTCATTTAAAACAAGGGTTTTGCAAAAGTGGCAGACGCTTGAAAGTGCCACGAAAAATGAAAAGCAAAGCAATAACATACAAATGATCAGCATGAATCAATGGAAAGATTATTATATCACACTGCTGAACGAGGATCGCGCAGAATTCGACGTGGGTGCCGTATACAGACCTGATCTAAGAATCGAAGATACCGAAAATTAAAGAAATAAGAAGAAAGAAAGCAAATAAATTTAGCGAAAATAAAAAATGGAAAGTCTAACGGGTTTGAACTGGTCAAGCATGGATCCGAGATATTACACGAATTTTTGGCAACACTTTTCAACAAGTGCGTGTTGGGAAGAGATAATATAACAGAAAATTGAAAGTTAGTTTACATTAGGTCACTCTTCAAAAAGTAGAATAAAAGGTTGTGCCAAAATTATCGAGGCATAAGTGTTACTAGTGCGGTGAGGAGATTGTATGGCAAAGTCTCAAAGAACATGACTGAAATACAATGGGACGACGTGGAAGAACAGAGTGGTTTCAGTGGTTGCAAGGAAGGTCTTGTACTGATAATATTTTCCTCCTCCAACAAGTAATCGAAAAACGCAAAGTGATAGATTTTCCCACAAACTTAGTTCGCAGATATCTAGAAAAGACCTATGACAAGCTGCCCAAGATAAAGCTGTTTGGAACCCCATACTTTTGCTCTCCTTATGTAGTTTTATAATTCTTTCTTCCTCGCTACAATATTTCGATCTTCCAATTACATAGCTAAATGCTGCAGTTTAAGAGAATTCAGAACTCTTTAAGTAAAAGAACTCCCAATAATTTAAATCTGTTTTTAGTTAAAAAATTTGTACATAACCCAATTTTGTTTATTAAATTTTGTTTTTCACATGCAAAAGAAGAAATTACAAGTTACGAAATATAAGTTACGAAATACAAGTGATAAATTAATTGTATTTAGCTATATTGATTACTGTTATAATATAGATAACTTACTTGTACTAGTTGTTGTTGTTATTGTTGTTGTAGATACAGTTGTAGGTGTCAATGTTGTAGATATAGTAGTAGTTGTCCTTGGTGTTGTCGAAGTTGTTGTAGTCGGTGTTGTGGTAAAAGTTGTACTAATTTTCGTTGTAGTGGTATTACTTGGAGTTGTTGATGGTGTACTTCCTACTGTTGTATTAATAATACTGTTGGGAGAAATAGTTGTCACAACATCTCCAATCCTTGATGAAGGAATCGGGAGTGGAGTCGATTTTGGTTCCATAACAGTCGTCCTTTTCGATAAACCCTGTCTTGTAGCAGCATCTAAAGGTTTCCACGTGGTCCTAAACTTGTACTTTGGAACGGTGGTGGTTCCATACGGTTTCCTCCTCCTTTTCGTAAACTTTGTCGTTTTTGGAGTAAATGTTGTTGTTGTGCCAGTTCGAATATTTGGTCTATAGCTGTGCTTAGTCGTTCGTCTTGGTTTAAAAGTGGTCGAAATTAACGATGTTAAAGTACTTGATTGAGTATTATCAACAATATTTGAAGATGGAGTTGATGAACTTGTGAGTGATGAAGTTGATGACGTAGATGAAATAGATGTTTCATGAGCTTCAGTTGGTTCTTGGAACGCAGATCTAACGCAGGAATCCCCTACTTGACGGAAAGGAGAGTTACATTGACATCGGCCAAAGAGGTTCGGTATTAAGAAGTCACAATGGCTATCAGCTGTCCAAAGTCGACAATGAGCATTGCTATAACATACATTACTTGGTCTTGCGGCTGAAAATAAAAAAAAGCTTGTTATATTATATTCATTGTATTTAAGATATAATAATAAGTGTCTAATTAGACGTTTGATCACTTGATTTAACATCCCATTGTCAACAGCGGTTCATTCGCAATTCAATGCGGAGACTCAGAACACGCGAGGGTTTGAAATCTGCGAGACCTAAAGGCAGATTTCGAGCTCGTTCCCGTTTTGGAAATGGCCATTTCCGGGGCCTTGGTCGTGACCGCTAGCTTCGTCCGTCCACCGTGAAATAGCCACCAATAAACTTTTCCCGCGATTCTATCGGGTTGCCGGTCGCTTTTTCTGCCCCTTTCAGAGTTAAAACGGGTTCAGTGACTCGCGATCTCGTCGAAGAGCATTAAATTTAAGAGGAGAAACGGGGCCTCGGTGATAACACATCAACAAGATGTGTTTACCTGAATTCGATTCATCTTTACGTTGAAAACTTAAAAGTTTAAAAAAATCGTAGACTCAGGCTTTAAGATTTTGTAACGGTAAATTTTGAATGAAACAAGACTAAGGAAATCTAGGTTCTAAATCGTGCCGCAAGGATGTTCTGAACTGAAAGAGACATCAAAAAAATATCCAACCAAAATCACCTTTCGCTCTTATCTCCAGCGGTAATGGTACAGGTTGTTATAGTTAATTGAGCACGAAACGTACACACCGTTTCACGATCAGTTATCAGCATCTATAAAAAGTTATGTGTTAATAAGCACAAAGTGAAACTAATCATCTCATAACTTGAATAAAATAGATTATGAAGAAGCTATAAAAAAAGTTATAAAGAAGTTAATAAAAAACGAAGTAATTTAATTCATTTAACCATTTTAAATTGAGAATTGTACACTTTTAGTTTTATTACATTGAGGAGATAGCGTGTGGTTAAAAGCGACTAATTATTCTTGTGCCTGAAGACAGCAATTTGCATAAATTACTTATGCAGAATTCTATTGGGATATGCACACGTACTGCTTAGGTATACCGGAATTTCGTATCATTTTCGATTTGAGTGTGAGCGCAACAAACGTGATCCGATCCAGGCATAATCTAGGTATAATTTTTCAAACTGCCGTAAACACCTTGACTATGAGCACGAATCAAGATCATAGCCGTTTAAATTCCAATTGCCCCGCGGAGAGTACAGGGTAATGTTCATTAGTGCAGACAGTTCCGTGGAGTTGAGATATGCACGAGTGAAAAATTTTATCTGCTAACTCTTAGTAACGGTTACATTTTAGATTAAACAGCTTGTCAATTTGCAAATCATTCATAATGGCAGAAATGGTCCATTAGTAAACTTGATAAGCTCGCATTTGTATTCTCGCATACAGGATTAATTCGATTCAGTAATTAACCGATGAAATACATCAATTCGGACATATTCGAAGATTAACATACTTATTAGGGTGAAAAGTTTAAATGTTTTAAATATTTTCCACAAATATGCAGTTAGAATGAAAGTCTTATCTTTAATTCATTGGATGTTATGTGATTTAGTATTCAGGCGAAATATGTATTCCTCGATTTGTAAACGTCACATTGTTATTTTGCACAATTTATTTTTCAATTATAGCTGATTTAATGGATACAAAAAAATTAAAATGCCAAAATTGGTTTTATAGTAAACTTATTAAAGTGAGCAATACGAATATACTAGGTAATGATTTCCTTAGTTTTTTTAACTTTCTGATTACAACAACTTTCTCTCTAACATTATCGGTTAATCTCCAGTATTGTAGAGGAACAAGGAGCCGTACCAGGTTATTTGAAATGAGTTGGTAACGCCTTGTGTTGGTATTTTAACCTCGGGGTATTAATATTGCTACCTCAAGAAGCAATCTTGAGGTAGCAATATTAACTACAACACGGTTAATTTTCTGGTTTCAAAAGTAAACTGTTAAAGTATTAAAATATACAAGTAGTTTTAGTACCCTTAACTTTAGGGTGTAATTCAAAATGATTTTTAACAAGTAAGTATATAAATGTGATTTGAAGTGCCTCATTATACCTTATTAAAAAATATATTGATTGCAAAAGTTTGCTGTCAAGGCAATTATCTATTACGCAAACATACTTCATCTGCGTAAATGTTTTATTGTTCACCTAACTCTCCTGACATTTAGAAGCATATATTGCTGGAAAAGACTACAACGCCAAACCCCTAAATTCAATTGTGACTTCAAGCAACCAAAAGAACAGAATTAAGGAGAACAATCCAAAGGATGAACTGTAACTTCTACTCAACAGAAAAGTCGATCTACTAGTCTACTGATACAAAAAAATGACTTATTAGATTTTTATCACCAGGAAAGTATTTTCTAACTTCATAGAAGTTGAAGAGAACCTTGACATGGACTCCGATCACTCTAAACGACTAGAAGAAGAAGCTAAACATCAACAAAAACCAATACCTAGAAGAAGATAGTACCAGTCGAGTGATCGCTAAGACAAAACTACACTTAACAATAAGACCTAGAAACCCAGAAGACAATTTTAAAAGCTTAAGGAAGAATTCATATCCAGAAAAATTGTCAGGATATGAAGGAATCGATTGTTTACTACGGAAGTAGCAGATGAGATAAGAACTAACTTAATCCGAAATAAAATTCCAGAATTCGACCTCATTACAAGAGAAACCGTAAAACAGCTGCACAGAAAAGGTGCTGACCCATCTCTTCACCGCAGGCATTAGAGTAAAACATATACTGGCATGCTGGCAAGTTGCAGAGGTTATCACGTTGTCTAACCTATAAATACAACTTAACGAATTTAAATCTTTCAGACATATTTCATTCCTAGCAATAGTCTCAAAACTCTTCGAGAAACTGCTGTTCAAAAGGCTGAGGCCAGTAATAAAAACTAATAAGCTAATTCCAGATTATCAATTTGGATTCAGACAATAGCACTCAATAATAGATGCATTTAGAGCTTTGGCAGAAAAGATAATCTGTTCGGCACTCGTCCTAGTTGTCGCACAAATATTGACAAAGTTTGGTAAGAAGACTTCATAGAAAAAGATAAATATTCCGTATATGCATAGTATTCTTTTCTATATATGGTCAGTTCTGTAGTTTCCCTCCACTTGCTATTCCTGTCTGTCAGTTTCTCACTTTCCCACAATTTCCTTGGTCGGCCTTTTCTTCTGTTTTTATATACAGGGTTTCCCAAAACTCCCGGGGCGGAGCTATAAGTTTTGAACGAGTGAACAAAAAAATTTGAAAATTTGGTGATCACTAAAGAGTCATAAAAACTACATTCTTAGATAGCTTAGAACTTCCATGCAATGTGAAGTTTTTTTAGGGGATGACCACCCCTACATTTTTAAATAGTAACCCCTGTCAAGTTTTACCTTATTTTAAAGGTAAGGAAAAAAGAAACACAACCCCATAAACCAAAACACGATATCTTAATTCTTTCAAGAATTATGAGGGGTT